GAGCAGACTGTGTGTTCCCTTGGACAGGTACCACCTCTTTATGTCTGCCTGGTAGCACTGTTGCCAGTGGGCACTACTGCAGCACAGGTAATACTGCAGTGTTTATCCCCGCCTTGCTGCAGAAGAAGGAACATTTATCAGGCATTATCCAATGCAGATAGGAAATACCACCTGCTTTAGTCTTCTTCATAAAGCTACACCTGCAGATAACCTGGGAAGAGAGAGTAATGAGGCAGAGAGACTGGAAAAAAAAAAAAAAATTAGTGAAGTACAGGAGTAAGAATGCTCTTTTAAAAAGCCAAAGAAACTTAATTTCAAATTCCAATGTCAGCTAACTACAGAGAACTGTAAAAACAATCAAAAATAGCTCTGTATGGACAGTGATTTTCTAGCATTTTTGATAAGTAGTTTCATATTTGAATAGTTCTGTTGATCTGTATTTCAACACAGATGCTGCTTTGGTAACTTTGCTGTCAGTATACTGCTCAGCAAACAATGGTGATTCATGGTTGCTTGTTAACATTTGGGTGTAACTTGACTGATCATAAGTTTCAGTGTCAACTTCAAGTGATATGAAATCATTAAATAATCTTGAAAAGTGCTGGCTTGTAGAGAATTATGTACCTCACTTCGCAATGCTCATAGACCAAATGTTAAAGAGTTGGAGGATGTTCAAATGATCTACTATTCTTAGACAGTGGATTGCTCCTTGACCTGTCTCAAACCTCCTGCATTATCTTGCACAAATTAGTTTCACTTTTTCAGTTAATCTTCCAAATAGGGATAACACTGCAACTCCTTGGCTGATGAGGCAAAAGCACCAAAGAAGATAACAGTTGTCAGATAAACCTGCAAGGTAAGAGATCCTCAGTTGAATCCAAAATGTTTGAACACCTAACTATTTCAAGTTAGAAAACTTCAATATTTACAAACCCAGTAGGTGTCATACGGAATATAATGTAAGAAAGTGAAAATTACAACAGATATGAAATATAAGTGTTCCATCTTCTTGCAGAGGAGTGGACAAGACACATTTGCTTTGATTAAGAGTTATCAAGCAAGTGAAGCAGACCTTCAGTTTCCTGACACTGCTTAGCTACAGGTAAGTTAAAAAGCAAGGTTAAAAAGCAAACAGCAGAAGCTTGGCTGTGTAACATTGCATCCTGCCTGCTGCCACTTCAGGCACATACTTTTAACCATTACCTGTTCTTTTGTGTGAGAAAGCAATCTTCCAAAAATTAAGTAATTACTCATACAGAATTACACCTCTCCCCCTTTCATGGGACTCTGAATCATGTCTGACATGTTTTTACACAAACATATTTTATGGTAACTATGAATCAGATTTCAGTGTGAAACAAAATGTGATTGATACACGGCTACTAAAGTGGCTGTAGCTGGCCATTAAGTATCACGCCAGTACAGAAGCATACTCCAGGGATACCTCTCTCAGATAATGGAACATGAGCCTTAGCTGAGAGAATTTCTCTCTTCATTCCAGAGGCCTGTAGCAACCCCAAACTATTGTGTGTCCAGCCAAAGAACTTGAAAGACCTAAGTAATACGAAGAGACATTGAAGCATACCTGTCCTTGGCACTAGGCAGGCCTCCTCACCGCAGAAGCTGGGAAATGTAATTAGCGAGGTCGTTGACACGCGTGCAGTTTCATAAAGCAACAAGTCAAAACTCAGCAATCGCCCTGTGGTTCGTTATCACAGAATGCAACAGTCCTCAGATGCCCCCGTGTGACTCCTGGGTGCACTACAACGCTGTGGCTGTGAGGACGACCTCTAAGAAATGCCTTTGGGGAAGGAAAGGTCTTGCAAGCAAATGGAGTTTGCATTAACCTGTTATAGCTCTGGTTTACTTGTGAATTGGGAAGCACTCAGTTCTTCCCAGAGTGGAGGTCTGAGAGAACACAGCTTGCTTGCCCCAGATAAAGCACACAAGTGAATCTGTAAGTTTGATGTTTTAAAGTAAGTTAGAAATACTGTTTCTGTAGATTGGTATCACACCAATCCGTCTCTTAACCCCTCAAACATATAAAAGATTTGTTACATCTTATGAAACAGCTGGATAGAAGTCCCATCTCTAAGTGTCTTGGAGTACAACTATTTAGTGAATTAGCATCCTTAAACACTATACTTAGAGACAACCCAAAAATATTCAGTGCCCTCTTGTGGTTTAAATTATGAAAGAAGAAAAATTTGTAAGAGAAACCACTGAAGTTTGAACAGTCTGAGGTGACACATAAAGCACACTCTCTGTGACATTAGTGCCACAGCAGTTACCCTAGAGAAAAGAGCCACCATCTTCCTATTGCCTTCTGTCCCCACCTGCAAAACCAGAACCTAACACAAGGTTTTCCGATAAACAAGTACCTATTACTATTAAAGGATCAGTCTGCATGAGTCATTTTTGACTTTAAACATCATCCTAATCTCTCGATGCCAAAACTAACAAACACACCCCCTAGAGAAAACTACAAAGGAAATGCTTTAAAAAAAAGCATTTAAAAGCAGTAAAATCTGACTGGTACTACTTTCGGGTTCTTTGAAAGTGCAAAGACATTCTGAAACATATAAACTCCTCCAGCCATAGAAATAAACATGACAAGCAAACTCTGGAAATTATTGGTTCTAAGTTTCTTGGTTACTGTATTTACCCGAGGCTCACATCAGCCCAAAGATATTGAGGACACAGCCAGAGGAGCTTATAAAACAGGATATGAAACGATAATCAGTAGTTAAGTAATATAATCTTAGCTATTTAATTGTTGCTCACTTTAAAAGACAGAAAGGGGAGTGGGAGGGACAGCGTAAAATTATGGGAAGTGGTATAGGGAAATGCATACAGAGGAAAACTGTATTGGGTGCAAGACACTGGAACAGGTTGCCCAGAGAGGCTGTGGCTGCCCCTTCCCTGGAAGTGCTCAAGGCCAGGTTGGATGGGGCTTTAAGCAACCTCATCTAGTGGAAGGTGTCCCTGCCCATGGCAGGGGTATTGGAACTAGATGATCTTTACAGTCTCTTTCAACCCAAACCACTCCATGATTCTGTGATAAAAGAGGGATAGAAACACAAGAAAAAGAAAATAAAGTAATGGTGAAGAGCACTTTTCTCAGTGACTAAGTATCTTCATAAGCTTAAGCAAGTTCATAAAAACTGCCACTACACCCTGGGAAAGGACATGCAGCTTCATGGAGCTGAGGAATGCCTCCTAAATGTACACAGAGGATTTAAGGCAAAGATGTAAAATGGAATAAGACACTTTCCACAGCACACATTCAGCAGTGGTGACTTTCCCTCACCCCCACCTCCAATTTCTTAACACCTTGGGGAGGGGTACAGGAATAAACATAAAATTTACTTTCATAGCTCTCTCCTGATCATGTCCACAGGGATATATGACTGTAGGTGGAAAATAAAAAAATAAAAGGTTACAGGTAAAAGGCTACATTAGGTTAGGGCTGAAAAATGAAGAGGTGAAAACTGGTCCTTCCCAAAGCAGACCTACAGTTTGTGGAGAGTAAGAAGCAGTACAGACCTCCTTTACTCATGAAGGAAACTTTGACTCTAGTAAGAATCTGGTAATTCACTGTGAGTGGCAATTTTAATATTATTGAAAAGCCTTCTCATAGTAGAGGCCCTGAATTTTGTCTCCTAGGTGTTTTCAAATGTACCTGCAACAGGACAAAAGAAACCTGATATCTAGAGCAAGTTTAAAGGTACACTGTATGAAGAACAGACTATGTAATGTTTGTACCTTCATTGCTAGTTTCTCCAATTCTAAAAGAAACCTGAAGATGCTTTTGTCAGATATTCTTGTAGCTCTGCTTGCCTACAATAAAACAACCTTGGCTGCCAGGTTCTGCGGTCATTTCACAAATGACACAGTATTTACAAGACATAGTAAAGTGTACATCTCTTAGAACATCCATGAATTTGTGTGTGTTTCAGCATAAAAAAAGATACAAAAAAAATACATGAGCTGTACTCTTATAGCAGAGTCCTCACAGACACTCATGTGTTCAAATCTCACCAGACTCAAATGCTACATCTAAAAGAGGGACCCAGGAACCCTTCTCAAATGCAGAAAATCTTCTAACTCCTGACTACCTGTCAGAAGATGACCTACATGGACAAAAGTCCTCCTTACTCCCTGGGAATGAAGTCCTGGCTTAGGACTGGAGCAAGAAAAGGGAAGTTGTACAGAGCTCATGTATCCTATAATTAACACACTGCCAATGAGAATTAAAACACACCGAGTCCATTCACTCTAATACGCATTACTGTAGTAAAAGAAAAATCAAATGAAACCTCTAACATAGGGCTTATAACCAGATCTAGGAGACAGAGTGACTTATTTAGAGCTCAGAAAACTATCTAAGGGGAAATAACAATCTAATAAAAAGTAAAAATTTAAAAATTTTGCTATATTATTATCATTCAACATAAGACATTAAGTCCATTTCCTAACCATATTACCTATGTCCTTAGAATGTAAAAGCACAAGAAATAACCAAGGGGCTTTTCAGATCAAAAATACAGGACAGAAGGATATGCCACCTTGCTGGTCCAATAATGCAACCAGCTCAAACTTACCAGACAATTCTTTTCCTCAGAAAACCATTAACTCTTCTCAGTAAATCTACCTTTAAATAACAAAGTTTTCTATTGACCCCAAGTGTTACATACCTTTTCCTTTCTCCTTTTAGGATGTTATTTCTCTATTAACATTACATGGGACAGCAACATACAAACATGGAAGGAAGAAAAGAAGCACAAAGTAAGCTCGGGCCAACCTATCATCTTTCTTGCTTCATGGAAAGATCTTCGGGATGTGATAAGGTAACTTGTCAGCTCATGAATGGATCATGAGCCACAACTCATCAGTTCCAGCAGCATACATGCCAATCTAATCATTCAAAGTGTGAACACATAGAACTGACCATGTACTTAAGTCTAGAAACCATCTGAAAAGGAAGCAGCAGCATCAAGGGAACTGATCACCTTTATTATGCCACAAAAAGACAAACAAAAAATAAAATACTTTAATAGGAGAAAAAATAGAAGGTACAATTCAAACATAATATACCATACTGAAACCATATACAATGCAACATGAACATGAAAACATTGTTAAACAGCAATCTTCTAGTAAAGATTGCATGTTTTGAGTACAAGCATCACCCATCATAAATACACAGCTTTTTGTGCATGTCTGAGTTTCAGTGAGAAAGATCATGACCAGCATATTTAAATAGATTATTTCATTTTTATTAAACGCTTACCTAGTGAATGTATTGGATGCAATCTCTTCATATTAAAAGTAGAAAATATTAAGCAAGGCAGCACCTGCCAATACAGATTTTAACATATGCAAATAAAGAGGATAAACATTTTGCAAGGGGTTTTTTTATATTGCATTTATACACATTTGTTGCTTTAAAATGTGTATTCAAGTCACTCAACATTTAAACACAACTAAAACGCTCAGCAACTATGCATCAAGTGACAACTAATTATTGCTATAGAAAAATTTGTTCCCCAGAGTTTTAAGAGATATAATTTCATTTGCAATTCTCAAGATATGTTCAAGTAATAGAAATAACTAGTTCCAGTGTCCATGAGGCATTCTGAACCTGTATTGGCTGCAGGCATTTATTGCCAGATCATATAAATATTTTATTGAATCTAAAAAAGTTAACTAAACTTACATGTAGCTATTAAATTCCTTAGGAAATGTATGCAGTAATAAAATCACCATGGTATGCGTTTTTATTTTAAAAAGCTAAAACTTTAGCATCAGGCTACTTTGAAATTCCTTTCTGTCTAAGGGCACTATTTCATAGTTGGCTTTTATAGTGCAAAAGGGAGAGTAAAAAATCCAACCAACCTTTTCAGTTGCATCAGTGAACCACTGCAAATCATTATATGGTCACACAAGCACTAGAGCTGACAGGTGAGTGAGAATATGCAAGAGTATGGGAGCAAACAGGAAAGCTGGAGGACAAGATCAAAGAATGTCCTGCTGTCAAAATACTGTATTAAGCCAGTAACAAAATGCCAGACCTTATAAAAAGGATATAACCTTTAGACATTTCTGAAATAGTCAACTTTGTATTTTAGCCAGCTATGCCTTCAGTAATGTTTCACACTTGAAAAACAGAAGATAGAAATGTCAAGTTACAGTGTATAGTGTTTTAGTACCAACACTCAGCATATTAGAACTAAGATTCAGAATTGACTCCCGTTACATTGCAGAATGAGGCACTTCAACCTTACCAGTTTAGGAATATGAACTACCCAGTATTTAAAGAAATAATTAAAACCTCTATTTGGAGAGCAAATGGGAGCCAGGGCACAAGAAGCAGATTGTACTTTGGCTGCACAACTGATATTATTACGCATAAATCCCCAACTACACTAGAAAAATTATTGGGGATGTTTTCCACCATGTATACAATACCCACTGAGAGCAATAGTTTGACAACAGGCAATGGTGACACAGGATGAAGAGTCAGTCATAAAACATAAACATTCAGAACAGTGTCTGTTTAAACTTCCAAAATATAAGCTGTGCAGCTTTCTTTCCCCCTTCTCCCCATTAGTATTAAACAAAAGATCTTAAAGTTCCTTTACAAATGGATTTTCCATTTAAATTCAAAATTACATTATAGCTCTGTTTTCTCTGATTTTACGAGAGTCTTGCTGGGAATGTGGAAATCTAGAATAGAAACTCTTAAAATATGTTGGCAACTATTTTAGAGCAAGTTTTTCTTCTCAAGTGTTTTCTCAAGTCTTTGGATGCAGGAGATGTCCAAGTTTTAAACAGTCCTACCAAAATAAACAAGTTCATTTCTGAGTATTAGTAGGTCTGAAGCCAATTAGTTCTCTAGTTACAGAGCCTTCTATGAACGACAGGACAGACCAAAACTTGAAGTCCAAATGCAACAACAGATGTTCTTAAAAAGCTCCAACAAAATTAAAAGCTAGCTGGGTCACAGTCATATACCGAAACAGTGTACCTTTTGCATGTCATCACTGGATTGGTCAGAAAGTATGTCATCTTCCTTAGTAGTTGGGAGTACAGGGAAAGTAAACAAACATCCTATTTCAGTTATGCTCCAAAAGGGGAAAAAATAGATTTAATTATTCCTAGGTAATGGCATCATTCTTTCTCAATGAAAGGTGCTCTGCATTGAAGTATTTTTATTTCTTAAGTTGTTGTAATTTGCATTCACATAGTAATGGTTAAAAACAGGTCACAACATCAAATAAAACTTTGTCCTTGGGCAGGAGAAAAAAACAAAAATCATCACCTTACAAGATATCTTAGCAAATGACAGCTGGACTTGAAGAAACTCAACAGTGCAACAGAGCACTTTCTAAAGATACTTTCAAAGCTGGTTTTGGTGAATTAAAATAGCTGACATTAATAAAATAATCCCTGTAATTAACAGAGCAATAAAAGTTATAAAAGTTAGAGAAAATCAAGACAACAGTGAGAAAAAGGTCCTTAATTCCATAAGGACAGATCTCGGTATAGATGTCAAGTTTTAGTTTCAGCAAAATCATTTATGAAATGCCCTTATGAACATGGAAAAAAGTTACACCTGAAAAGTGGTTACTGAATACCATCTTTATTAATATACACTTCAGATCACCAGCAGAAGGTAATTTTCCTCTCAGATAATCAGTAAGATGAAGGGGGGGCTATCCTTTAAAAGTTCACATGACAGGATTCTTGAACTGCATTTTGGTATTGGGCTTCTTCATCAAGCTGAAGATTCTAAACAAAATGAAAACATCATCAAAATGGACAAATACTCAAAATGTACCACAGTCCTTAGTTTAATCATTCATTTTCCACATAGGAATCAGCACCTAGATGAAGACTCTCCATCTTTACATGTACTAGATGATTGTTTATGTTGCACAGTATCTTTTATTTAACCAAGTATCAAGAGATACATGAGACAGGAGAAGAATCAGATCAGTGGGACAAGGCTCATTAAGCAGAAGGGTCCATCTTATCTCCCTGGCTCAATTACATTACATACAGAATAGCCAGCTCAGGAAAGCTAACTGTGTCACACAATTCTTGTAACAGGGCTTCCAACCAGCCATAACATCCTCCATTAATAAAACCAAAATATTATCCCCAGACAACAGTAATCAGATTGTGGAGAATGCATTGCTTAAAATGAGAAAAGCAAACGTATCACAGAAGATGGGTGGTTAACCCTGCTATTTTTGAAGAGCTATCTTCCAAGTTGTTAATATGCCAGAGTAATACATCTTTTCAGTACAATTCTGGCAGCTTCCCCAAATCAGAATTCCAGTCACCAGTTTTACATCCTCAAACATGCACTCATGTTGAGGAGCCCAATCCCCTGTATCAGTCTCCTAGCCCTTCATGGCTTTGTCACAGATCACTGAACACAAAGAACAAAATACATCATCTTTGCCATCTTTAACCAGTGAGGCTGCCTATGCCACAAGTACTATGCTCGTCCCACATGAAGCTCAAGCAGTGTACCCTAAAGCCTGTCAAACTCTGTAGAAACTACAACACAAACTCTCCAGCAATCTGATCCCACAGGCAGAACTCAACTGGTTGGCTTGACCTACAATTCACCCACTGACTACATCTGTGCATGCAGTTCTGCATCTATGCCAAGGTCATTTACTCAAACTGAGCCTGAAAGAAGGCAATCGGAACAATGATTTAGTAACACTTCTCTTTTACATGTGAGCTTCTCTCAACATACTGGAAGAGAGGCTGTAGCAGCAATACCAGCTAGACAAGCTGCACTTTGATTCCTGAGACTTATGATTTAGCCATTTCTGCCATAAAAGGTCAAACATGGCAATAAAACAGAGTAACATCTCTTATTTCCCCCAGAAGCAGCAGTAATAAACTAAGCTAAAGACTTAAGTCATCAGTTTGGAGCAGAGTTTAACTGTTGACAACACCTATTCCTGGTACTACTTCATGTTGAGAACGTAAAGTTTAAGAACAGACTGGCCTATTTCTGAGCTCTGTACAGAGCAGGAACATAGCATGTCCAGCGCAAACCCCAGATTGGTATAAATTTTTTTCTATAAATAAAAATGCCAGATAAAATGTTACCATTTATTCCCCTAAACAGCAAAGAAGAAAAAGCTTACCACAAATTCTCCGTAGTCAAACCGGTGTCTTAGATTTAGATGGCTAACAAGATTTCTAGTAACCGGGTTAGTATCTGCCCAAGGAAGAGATACACAAATAGGACAGATCTGAATTTGTAGGGGAAGGGGAAAGAGAGAGAATTAAAAAAAAAAAGTTATTGGTAATATAGAATGCATTAAAGACACGTTCTACAGGAATAACTAGTCTGTTACTCATCCACTACCAAAAGAGAGTAGAGATGTTCACATAAAATCATAGTTCTAAGAGTTCTTTTCCTCACTTGTGTAACATTCAAAAATTACATTGCAACTTGCCAAATTTCTTAAGTGTTTCTCTTAGGAGTGGAGGATTATCATGTCTGTCTGGCACTCCTTTTGTCAATTTCTGTTGCTTAAAATTTACAAAAGAAAGTGATTACTGCATCCTAGTTATTGTTTGAGAGAATTTTCATACACCATCAAGTGAGCCAGAAGAAAAAACAACACACTCTATACAGATGAAAAGAATAGAAAACCAACAGATTTTTCCCTTCAGTCCCTCTGGTTACCTTAAATTACTTTTCAAGTAACTGTAGGTTTCACATTAAACAATAGTTACAAGTGGGATTCTATAGAAACATCTGAATTACTAAATGAAGCATAGTGTCAGGCTCAAAAAATGAGTTTGTTTCACATCAAGATAAATGAGACCGCTAAGAGAAATGCCTTAGAACTGAGAAAAAGTGACAAAAAGCTGGACAAGAAACATTGTCACATGGAAGTCACTCCAAGTTAAATGCACTTCATTAAGTATACTGCCCTTCTCAGATCACAGTGATCTTTATAGAAATAGCTACTGCACATGTAAAATTGATCACAATTATAATGAAAGTAGCTTAAGAAGCATACATAAGCAACTCTACTTACTACAGGAACTATCTGATAAAGATGTCTATTATTACAGTGATCCAGCAGGCGTTGTCTGGTAAAATTGGCTTCCTGACACAGGGGGCATTTGAAGGTTGGATGTCCACTGTAAAAAGAAATACACAGTATTAAACAGAAGAGAGAGTTGCAAAAATAGTGTTAAAGAAAAGCTTAATTCATCTGTTACCTCGCCATTATTTTCCCTTATTTTAGTAACAAAGAAACGCACTCTCACTGATACAGTGCTGGGTCTAATGGAGTTCCAATGCTACTTCCAAATTGCAATTTTAAAGTATATTTATTATTTGTATGCCTAATGCATTCTTCTGAGACTGGGACTTTGGAAAATTCTTTTGTTCCAAATGTAGCTGCACCCTGTTCTTTCTTACTGATAACATCTTTTAGCACAAATCTTTCAGGAAAGTTCTGAAAAAAGCAAATTCTAATGTATAGATGCAAATGTAGAAGTAGTTGAGGGTTTTTTTAATACAACATGGTGGTGTTTGGGTTGGGTTTTGTTTTTTTTTTTAAGTTAGTACAAGCTTGCCAGAAGGCTGTCTGGATCTACTTTAATAAAGAAAAATAAGAAGCCTACCTTGTTTCTCCTTGAAGTATCTGATTATTAGCCATCTCACCATTATCAGATATTGCATCACTCCTGCTACTTTAGATGAAGAAAAAAAAAACCAACAATGAAAACTGAGATTATTTTACTCCACTACAAAAATTTTTTTAAAGTTTAACAGTAACAGCAGGGGAAATCCATTAAATCCCATGAATTAAGGCCCATAAAGGCAAAAGACACAATGGCACATATTTTAACTGTCACAACTTTTCCTGAGCTGTCTCAGTATTTAGTTACCATGGCGACTCTTGGTGGACTACTACACAACTTTATAGGAAAGTGGTATATAATGCAACAGGCAGCAAGAATGGTAATGCAGATTACAGCCAAGTAGCTCAAAAGGTATGATGAACTACGTGAATGTAAGATGGGTAGCACTTTCTAAGTTTTTATTTAGAACTATGTAAATAGGTATTTAACTGCCATGTGTTTACAAATAATTTACAACTTTCAACTACAGCAAGATAAATTTTCTGGGCACAAAAACTAGTTCCTAAAGCAAGAGTGACAGACAGGAACACTTTAGAAAATAAATTTGACCGTATATGCACCTGTAGATAATGCAGAAGAAAATTATCAGACATGCTGATCATGCCAACAACATGAATATTTACAGTCACAAATCTAGTCATGGTACATTTTTTTTTAATACTTCTGTATTATTATAAACAAAGGTATTCTACTGTGGCATAGGCAATAAACAGTGATATAACAATATGCAGACACTTTGGTGAAACATTGTTGCAGCTAGTTCTGGTAACTGCTTAAACTTTGGCTTTCAATATACTGATGGGTTGAAAAACAGAGGAGCTCAGACTGCTAAGAACAGAAAACAGATGTCAAAAGAAAGTAAATAAAGGACAGGCTATATATAATAAAGCCCTAAGAAACCAATATGTAAAAAAAGTCTTAAAAAATAATCAAAAATCCCCAACCAAACCAAATACATCAATGAGAAGGTATGAAAAATAAAGTTCTTTACCTTTACTGCCTGAAAACAAACAGTAAGTGTCATGTGTATTTTATGGTGTGTAACATATAGGAGTTCCTTGTAGGTTTCATAAGAGATCAGTTCAAAACAAGTTCAATCAGAAAGCAAAAGCCTGCTCAGTAATGTTTTGAAACAGGATAACCACTAAAACAGACCTAGGAAAGGGGAGGGGTGAATAAAAAGAGAAGGGAACTTCCCTGGGGCTAAATATTATGAAATATGTTACAAAGTAAGCTGCTCAAATGCTGTCAAGACAAGGAAAGCAAGCTACAAATATTGTGTACTTGTTAGGAGAGTCCCTAGAAGACATTCCAAACCATCATGCAGGAAGGTTTTCTCCTGTATGCTAAGAGTAAAGACGACGACCTGGAAAATCTTTCCTTTTTTGAAGTATGAAAATATGGACAAAAATTATTGCAAAAAGAAGGCATGCCCTGGAAAAAAAACAACTTTCCTGGGGTTGGAGTGAGGGAAAAAGAAGATGCATTGTTATATATAAAACACCCTGATTACCTGTTCCCTGTTGAATCTTGGGAAATCTGTAAGTTTGGAATAATAGCAGAAACACCATATTCATCCTGATACTTCTTACACGTTTTATAATGCTGTCTCATCCATGAAAATCTAACCTGTAAATGAAATGCCAAATTATTGAAATTATACTCAACAATCCAGGGATAAAAGGAAGAGATAATTCTGCCAACAGAAAGCAATGCATGCAGGAATTATACAGACATCACATGCAGCAGAAACCAGAACTTGTGTCTCCCTTCTCTGCATGAACACTTTTTTTCCCCAACAGAAGATCTTCCATTCTTTTCTCCATAGGGCCTCTGTCACTCTGTGAGACTGGAGAACATTCCCACTCCCCAAACTCATAACAGCCAGGCATCCGAGAGCTCTCTCAGGGTGAAAGATCCAAGTAAACTCCATTTTACTGAAACAAAGTCAGGAACTACGCCTCCCACATCCAGGATCAGTAACTTGATGAGCTACAACAGAGAGGGCCCATGAGGATGGAGTAAGCACCACTGCTCCTTCAGTCTTCTCTGGCCTGCTGTTGCCTTGTGCAGAGCAAAATATTTTTGCATTATGTGTGTTCTGAGAACACGTAACTTTTCTCTTTGAAAGGGAAGGAAAAAAAAATAAAAAGGGTGAATGAACACCAATTTAAGGCTGTCTATCCACCTTAAATGCAAGGTAAGAAAATTAATTGCTTGGATTTCTCAGAAGACAGCCGTGCTGGACATACCCTAAATCAGAATTTTAGGTCCAACAGCACTGTCAGAAAGTGCTCACAGATCTAGATGCTGAACAAGATCATCTCTCATATGCCTGTGCCTGAATCCGTTTGGTTCTTCCTTCCAGTTTACCAACAGCTTTTCATCCCAATGAATCATGTAGAACAAAGCAAGCAGCTCAGCTTTCCACTAGTGCTAATCTTCACACTAGCAGAACTAAGTCCCAGGTGAAATGAAACAAACATGAAGAGTACCTGGATTTGATGTAAACAAAATGTGTGGCTGAAAGCCTACATTCATTTATAACAGAGGAGAGATTACTCTTTATTTCAGTGGGTGTCGAGATTTCACCCAATGTTCTGAAAATAATGACCCCTTTACAAAGGGAATGTAAACAGATTGATGGGGCAGGGGGAAATTATCTATGATTACTCTCAGTGTACATACAATCACCCATTTTTTTTGTTATAAATTAAATTTTACAGTACTTCTAAGCACTTTCATTTCCATAGTGAAAGTTTCTGAGGTTTTTCCATATACCTGCAACTTTCATTTTCAGTTGTCTAACTTTTCTTTTGCCAGTTTTATAACTGTATCCAGTTTTTGCACTGTTTTGGAGAAAAACTGGCACTCCACTTAAAAAGTCTTCATAGATAATACAAGATCTTCCTTCAGTTTACAGCTATTAGGCATACCTAGCAGGCACTGCATGCCCAGTAAATGCATAAGTGATATAAAGCTAAGTTCAGACTGCTATAGGTTCTTTAGCTCAAAGACAAGAACAACACACAGTAGAAGTGTGTCTGGCCAACAATGAGAAAAATGTATCCAACTTTTTGTAAAGTTTTACTCTACCTGCTTCTCACAGCATCTACAGCCCCCAGAAGCTTTCTTCATACTGTTTTCAACATCTAGAGCCCTTTTGGGATATGTTCTTTCTTTTTTAGTCACGCTTCCCCGGCAGAGAGGACAATGTGTTCCACTTTCTCTGATAGCTGTCAAGAAGCATTTCCTGCAAAACCTAAATTAAAAAGTTACCACAAACACAGGTTAGAAAAGTGAAGAGAGTTAGATACCTCGTCCTTGAAGAAAGCTGGGTGATTATTTGGGGGGGAAAGATATATATCAGAGTAATAGTCTACTGAATACAAATCTTTATAAATATAAGCAAAATAATGGTGTTTACAAAGTTGTATAGAGGAATTAGGAGGACTTGGTAATGTAATTTAGGTAAAGATCTTACTATTTACCAACTAGTATTCCTGAGCTGTACACTGGATTGATCATTAATGAGGTATTAAATGGTGCAGCAGGCACGTGATATTGGAAAATCTTATCAGAGTAATTCCTGTTTATTGTCCTTAAGCGGAGCCAAAAATACCACAAAGCCCCATTTAACTCGCGTTTCCAAAGATCATCAAAGTTCATCAGCTTTTGTCGTTCTCCTCGCGTACCGAGTGCCAAAGCTACTTCGGTTTTCTAGAAAGTAGTACTTTGTAATTACATGTTCCTCTGAAAAATGCAGAATTTCAGATGCACTGAAAGGAGAAAGCAACTAAACTACGCTCCTTGCCTGAAAACGACCAGGGAACTACGAAGTTAAAAACGCGAGCGAGGTAGGTTAGAGGTGCAAGATGTTTTCACCAGCTGCGAAACTCGGCCACCACCGACCAGACGACCAGGGGCTCGCTGCGGGAGGTGGCTTTCCTAACTGACCAGTCCTCAGCCGCTACGAAATAAAGAGGCGAGGGGAGGCCGGGGCAGCCGCCGGCACGCAAACCTTCCAGCCAGCTCCCGGCGGCGGGTGGCAACCAGCTCCGCGGGTCCGGCCGGCCTCCCGCCCCCCGGCCGGGGCTCCGTGCGCCGGGGGGGTGGGGTACAGAGAACCGCGGGAGGCGAAGTAAAGGCTTGCGAAGGGGGTTAATATTAGCTAAAAATGTTAG